AAATACGTCACATCACATGCAACAGATTGGATCGGTATCAATCGAATACGGAGATTTACAGATTAGTCTTCAAATATTGAAAAGGAGGACATGTAGGAGGACACTTTTCAAGAGAGGACAGAACATACAAAAGAAGGATTGTCCTCCCTAAAGGAAGACAATTGGTCACCTTAAAATAGATAATATAAATAAAAAGCAAGAAATTAACTATGATTTCTCTTTATACAGAAGAAGCATTTGATAATTTAGAATGGCGTTTCAGTGATTCCAAAGAAGATGAAATGTGGTTTGAATATAAAGCATGAAAAATAAGAAACCAAGATACTGGAAAATGGAGTTTTGTCAGAAAAATATATATAACGAATAGAGGAAACATGTCTGCCCCTTTCTTTCTTTATTTCTACTGGTATTGGAACCATTTCCAAGGAAGGCATACCAAGAAAATAAAATTTTAATAACTGAATTGGCAAATGAAGAACATGAACTAAAGTCACCCGCAAAGAATACTGAACTTATAGTTACTCATCCAAAGAGTTATCTAGAATTAATAATGGAACATATATAGGAGTACAGTTCAGTGTCAGGATATTGGATTAATAAGATTCAAATCATATGGAATTTATCTGAAGAAAAAAAATACAATAACTGCAGCAAATTACAGGTTTAATATCATTGATGAAAAGACAAGTTCAGGGAAATTTGAGGGAGGGGGCAGTCCAGAAATGCAAACTAATAAACAAATATTTACTTTACAAAAACAGCAATGACTTTTTTCAGAATAATTATTCACAGTCTTGGAAAAGCATGATGGTGGCTATTTTAAGATGGAGAAATCTATCTATTTTTAGGAAGAACTGCAGGGGTAAAAAATGAACATTTTATCAAGAATTGAAGACAAGGTATTAAATGGATGGCAGAAAAATAATAACTTTATATAGTCCAATAAAAGACTGAAAATCAAGCAGAACAGTACATATTATAGAGACAGCAAACATTAAGGCATTTCTTGAAGCAGATATTTCATCAAATATCACAAGAATGTAAACAGATGAGGAAGAGAAAAGCAGGACTTAACAGATTTGGTCAGCATTATTTTTTCAAAATACAATTACTATTTTACAAGTGAGTTTGTCAAGAAAAAACAGAACTACTTGTCTTTTATTTGTTATATCACATGTTAAATTATAATTCCTACCTTAAACTAGTCAAATCTAGGTGTGAAAAAGCAGGTTTACAGATGTGAATTGTAGTTTATTTTAAATATTCCCCATGGCCTTTAGGAAATCAATAATTTTTCCTTAAGTGGGATGATATTTTGGATTGAGATAACATCAAGACTGGAGAGGCTAAAAAGCAAGAGAACATTTTTAGTCACAAAGTACAAACCAATTCCAATCAAAATATCAGCAGGAATTTATTCTGGTTAGAGAACTATTTTTTTTTTCTTCCATTCAGTTGTGTCCAATTCTCAAAGACTGCCTGGACACATCTCTGCAGTTTTTTTTGGCAAGATGTTCAGAAGTGGTTTGCCACTACCTCCTTCCTAGGGCTGAGACAAAGTGACTAGCTTTGTACCCAGGATGGGACTAGAACTCATGGTCTCCTGTTTTCTAGCCTGATACCACTCACCAAACTGGCTCTCTAGAGAACAATACAATTAGACAATTAGACATCAAAATAACCTTCTCAACAAATGTCAGATTTGTCCCTATAGGATCCAAAAAGATCTTGATAGACTTGAACAATGGGCCCTATCTAACAAAATGATATTTAATGTTGAGAAAAGCAAGGTTTTACACCTGGGCAGAAAAAAACCAAAGGTAAAGTATAGATTAGGCAAAATCTGGCTCAAAAACAATAACTGTGAGAGGGACCTTAGACTCCTAGTGGACAATCACTTGACTATGAGCCAGCAGCGTGCAGCCGCCGCCAAAAAAGCTAATACAATCCTTGGTTGTATAAACAGAGGCATAGAATCAAAATCACGTGAAGTATTAGTACCGCTTTATAAAGTCTTATTAAGGCCACATCTGGAATACTGCATCCAGTTTTGATCACCACATTACAAAAAAGATGTTGAGATGTTGAAAAAAAGTGCAAAGAAGAGCAAATAAGATGATTAAAGGCCTGGAGACTAAAACATATGAAGGATGGTTGCAGGATTTAGGAATGGCCAGTCTAAAGAAAAGAAGGACTAGAGGGGACATAATAGCAGTATTCCAATATCTGAGAGGCTGCCACAAAAGGAGGGGGTCAATTTATTTTCCAAAGCACCAAAAGGCAAGACGAGAAACAATGGATGGAAACTCATCAAGGAGAGAAGCAACCTGGAATTAAGGAGAAACTTCCTAACAGTGAGGACAATTAACCAGTGGAACAGCTTGCCTTCAGATATTGTGGGTGCTTCATCACTCGAGGTTTTTAAGAAGAGACTGGACAACCACTTGTCTGAAATGATATAGGGACTCTTGCTTGAGCAGGGGGCTGGACTAGAAGACCTCCAAGGTCCCTTCCAGCTCTATTCTGATTGAAGTCAGTCAATGTTATCAAACCAAATGAGAGCCTGAGCATGAGAAAATGGATTGTGGCCACAGCACAACTTTGTAAGCACTCGCCCCATTGTGCCTCTGATCCTGATTCCTATGTAATTCCATTCTAACTGGTCAAAACTAAAAAAAAAAAAAATCTTATCCAGCATACTATCTGATCATTCCTGGTGCCTGATCACAACCCCTTCAGATTGCGAAGTACAGTAGTCCTCAACTTATAACAGTGACTACTCAAAGTTACAACGGCACTGAAAAAAGTGACTTATGACCATTTTTCACAGGACCATTGCAGCATCCCCCTGGTCACATGATCAAAATTCAGATGCTTGGCAACTGACCCACATTGATGACAATTGCAGACTCCATGTGATCCCCTTTTGTGACCTTCAGACAAGCAAAGTCAATGGGGAAGCCAGATTTATTTAACAGCTGTGCTACTAACTTATCAACGGCAGTGATTCACTTAACAATTGTGGCAAGAAAGGTGGTAAAATGGGGCAAAACTCACTTAACAAACATCTCACTTAGCAACAGAAATTTTGGGCTCAGTTGTGACTGTAAGTCGAGGACTACCTGTATGCCCGACATACTTTAAACCCCAATGCGCAATTTCCCCATTGTATCGCTTGCCTTCTCCAAATCCGAAACAACACATTCTGCAAAGTGGTACCTGTTGAGTCCTCGGTGAATGGCAATGACGGCGCGAGACATTCTGTGGTTTCAGGAACTCTTTATTGCTCTTCAGTAGCCCCCGTTACAACTCTGAGCAGCACAAGCCTCTCAGCCTCTCTTAAAGACAAATCCCGGGCCAAAAAGCAACATTTAGGCGCGCGGCGTGCCTCGCGCATGCGCACAAGCGCCAGCCAGTCTGGTCCCGGGCAGCTTGCAACTGCCCGGGACCATTGCAACGTCCCGAGCCTGCCTCTGCAAGCTCAGGACACAACAGTACCCGTGTGCTTGTGACCCCTGAGCTAGCAGAGGACACTGCTCTGCCCAAGCTAACCAGCAACTGAACACAAAAATACAAGCTTTTCAGCATTCACACTCTACTCTAATTGGCCATCCCTGCATTTCTTACCAGTCCTTAGAACTGCAAATCCGTTGTGTATACACAACGCGGCTCCTCTTCCTTCCTTTACAAATAGATGTTTAGTGGCACACTTCCCCCACCTCTTTTTTTTTTTTAAGGGTGGACTTGTGTAACCTAGTGATTTCCTCCTGGTGAGATGATCTGGATTGTTTTCAAAAGAAGACTGATTTTGATTCTGTACTCTGTCCCTAGAACAATTTTCATTTGTTCAATCTATTCAGAATTCCCACTTCTTCCTTTGAATGGCAGTGAATGATAAGGAAACTGCATCTTTCCATAGTGCCGATCTTGAGAACAACAACGACAGGTAGTCCTTGACTTACAACAGTAAATTTAGTGATTGTTTGAAGTTACAGTGGTACTGAAAAAAGTAACTTAAGACTGTTTTTCACCGATATGACCATTGCAGCTGTCTCACTTAGCAACAAAAATGTTGGGCTCAATTGTGGTGGTAAGTCGAGGACTACCTGTATAGTTTAAAGGTGGCATAAAGGATTTAGTCTGTTCCCTCTGTGTTACTCCTGAAATTGGGAGCTCAGGACCATTCACAGACCCCCTGAAAGTAAGTCCTTCCATCAGTGTTCTCAATATTAGTGGGTCTTAACAAAATTAGCTATTGTTAGTTTGCTCTTTGGTTATATTGTTTTCCTCTTTTAATCTTCTTACTGAAAGAGTGCAATGTAAGCTGCTCAGAGATCTTCTGGATTGGAGCACATAAACCGAAATAATAAACGGTGATGCTTGCTGTCTCTTAATCTGCACCAGTGAAAAGTCAAGGAGTGTTCTCCTTCATCTATTGATAATACAATGAGATCCCTTTGACAAAGGAAGGCAAATGTTGCTTCCAGAGAGTTTGAATTTCAATTCCTACCAGTCCTGTATCAGCATCATTACTGGTAAAGGATTGTGAAAGTTCTTAGTCCCAAAATCTAGAAGGCAGTAAGTCTCTCCCTGACCTACAAAAATCTGAAACTAACCAAGGTTCTCAGATGCAAAGTATATTGTAAATTCTACCTTTCCCTTTCAGTCTTATCTAGCAAAAGCTGCTTTATGCTCTCACTTTGTATGTAATGATCTACAAAAACTGTATCAGCCAATGAGCTAGGATCCTGATAACAAACACAAATATTTTAGCACAGGATATGGTAGGCAGGATTGTATGCACTACCAGCAGCGTAGAATGATGGTAGCGTCTGATGTCATCTTATTGGGAGCTGCCCAGAGTTGTTTGAAAGATGGGTAACTATACAAATGTTTTAAATGAATAAATAAAATAATTAAATGCCAAACACGAGGAAAGGCTGCTGCTGTTCTTATTGCTGTCCAAAATAAATAAACTCTCTTCCTTTTCCAAATTTCAGAGAAAAAACAGAAGAAACAAAGGAGGCTGAATCGGATTCCTCTGAAAGGTAACACAGTACATTTATATAAATGTCATTCATTTCAATAAAGTTTTCATAGCAGAAACTCCTGACTGGGTTACATCGAGACTTTAAATCATAATCCATCACTGTGGCCATTCCTATTTAGACCCATAGAATTAAACATAAAGCTTGCTGCAATTTTCCTACCTCGAAGCAAGCGCTATTTGGTTTAATAGGACCTATTTCCCAGAAGATTCTAACAGAATTATGCAGGTAATTACAGAACTGGAATGATTTACCAGTATTAAGTTGCCAGTAGTCTAATTTCAAACAACCCTGAAAGTCAGAAAGGGCCTATCTTAAATATCCTGTTGCAATGAATTTACAGTAAGCTGTATTGTGTTTTGTATTCCTCTACAGAGAAGCAGGAAATTAAACTCTGGCCCTGCAGGAAGTATAGATGCAAATGGAAAAGAAACATGTTTTCCTGTATTATAGTATCACCTGGCGGAAAATTCACAATATGTTATTGATTATATCATGGTAAGTGCATGGACAGAGAATAGGTGGCACTTCTGGAATAATAGTTTTTAGGCATGTCACTCAAAAGACAATGACCTCATTCACATATGTGCTAAGTCATAATGTGATTTATTTGGCTTTGGATTAAGATTTTGAATGAATCCTACCATTGATGTGTGGATTGCTTGTGGTTTGCCATGTTGTATGAACCCAACTAACTGTGGTTTAACAATAAACTATCATTAAGAAATGTGTGTAAGGCGTGAACTCAGTGTATAGTAATTGCATCTTTTCTCACATGGTGCAGATAAAAGGAAAATGTACAAAAATTACCAATGACAGATTACATTGTTTAGTCATCCTGAAAAATTCTGTAAATGAAGCAATAAATCAATGAAAGGCCAAGAGCCTCCATCCTTATCCATGAAGGATATACTGCAATGGAATGTGCAAATGACACAATATACAATGATATTATCTGCATGATGATATCATGTTACCACATCAAGATGTGCAAGATGGAATCAAAGCTAAAGGAATCCAGATAACTAGAAAGTTTTCTGTTCCTCATTTGTTAAATTTGCATGCTGTCCATCTCATAAAGTGACTATTAGCTTCTTTAGCCCACATTTCCCCACCAAATCAGGCTAAATAGTATATACTAATATTTATTTGCCAAATTATAGTCACCCATCTCACAAAACAAGTAGTGTTTACTAATCAGTAGTGATACCCTATTTTATTAGTCAGCATCACAATTCCATGATGAGACACAGCAAATTTTTAACCAATTTTGGAACAGAAAGGACAATTTTCTGTCCTTGTTTTTTCAAAGGCAGAGATCACAACCCAATGGCAAAACAAGTGGGGAATGCCAACAGGACCATAACCCAAATGGGACTACTGAGGAACATGAACCCCCCCCCCAATCTGTGTTGCTAGAATTTTTTTTTTAACTGAAGAATAGCATATACACTTAGAAATACGGGGATCCTAACAAATAAATTAGTTCTGAAAAACTCAGTGCTGTTTACAGAGTTAAAGCATTAAAACACACACATATGCCGGGACAGGAGCCAGTTTTAAAATAAAGTGCTTTGGGGCATTTTTCCAGGATTCATTTTCAGTTTTTTGCTCTTGCTACAGTTTTGATGATGCTCCAATAATCTATGGTGATCCAAGGTTGCATCTTCTGTAAAAGGTTCTGTCTTTGAAAACAGACAGATTTTTTTTAAAAAAAACTACAGGTAATCCTCCGCTTATGACACAATGAGCCCAATATTACTGCTGCTAAGTGAAACATTTGTTAAGTGAATTTTGACCCATTTTATGACCTTTCTTGCCACAGTTGCTAAGTGTATCCCTGCAGTTGTTCAGGTAGTAACCTGGTTGTTAAGTGAATCTGGCCTCCCCATTGACTTTGCTTGTCAGAAGGTGGAAAAAAGTGATCAGGCAACTCCAGGATACTGCAACTGTCATAGATAAGAACCAATTGCCAAGCACCCCAGTTTTGATCATGTGGCCATGGGGATGCTGTAATGGTTGTAAGTGTGAAAAACAGTCATGTCACTTTTTTTTCACTACTGTTGTAACTTTGAAAGGTCACTAAACGAACTATTGTAAATCAAGGACTACATGCACTATTTCTCTTTCCTTGAGCCATCCATTTGACAAACGAACAGCTCACCAGTGGATGGTTCACTCATTCATTATGTCCCTTCAGGTAGAATAGTTTCACCCCAGCTTTGAAATAGCTCAGAGGAGTAAGTGCTGCAAAGGACTACCACTCCATTTACCTGGGGCCAACTGAAAAAACAAAGGCTCAGCATTTCAACAGTCTATCAGTGGATTGATTAACCACACTCTGCTCCAAAAGAAAAAAAAGCCCAGTGGAAGAATGGGAATCTCAGGGAAAGAAAACCAATATTATTTTAATAAGTTGGTTTTGGACAGTTTCAGACTAGGAACTGTTCACATATAAGGCAAGCATGGTACTTAGCATGCTGTTGAAACACACTTGGAGTAACAGATTCATCAGAAATTAGGCAGCCATTTTTGACCAAAGGCAGTGTAGAGACTTTCATTTTAAAGCTGATTGCTCTGCCAGCATCCAGTTTATCCCCCTTGGAAAGTGACCTCTGAATGGGATGGAATTCAGCAGCCCAAGAAAAGGGTGGGGCCCAGAGGGGAAGCAGCATTCTTGCAGCACTGCACACTAGCCAATCACAGCCAAGATAGTTGCAGACAATCCAGTGAGACACAACTAGACAAATGATTGGTTATCTCACATTTGTTGGGAAGTGGAAAGCCCTGGCTTTGAGGCAATGAAAGGAAAACAGGGCGGAGGTTGCATTTGCTGCAGCCTGGGGTGGGATGAGGTTGAGAATGACAGCATATATTTTTGCCTCCAAAAACAGCAGGTGGGGGTTGAACTCATGCTGGGGCATGCGGGAAGTATGACATTTGCCCCTGTCACGCCTACTGTATCAAAACCTGAGCTGGTCTCAACAAACATTATGCTTTATACCAGGCAGAGAATCTAGCCAGGAAAAAAAAATCACAAGAATGTGTTTTAAAAACTATTCGTAACCATGGCCATTGTTTTCCAATAAAGTTCAGGAAAGAAGAAATGAAGTCACTGCGCCTTTAAGATGCAAGACAGAAAGAAAGAAGCCACAAGTGACAAGAAAAGGCAGCATTAAGATCTCCTGCAGAAACATGCTGTTGCAAAAGTAATGGGAAGAGATACCCTGGAGGAAACATTTTCCACTGCCCTAAATTGAGAAAATTACATGTGTTGTGGTTTTAATTTTTTTCCCAAGATGTAAATCCCTAAAGAAATAAATAGTCCCATGAGCCCAGCAAAAGTCAAAACAGTTGAATTATTCTTGGATCAACAAAGAGTACAAGCTACCAGATGAAACAGAGGGTTTACTGGTGTGACTGGAGTTTTCAGTTACTCAACCATTTAACGGCATGTTCTTGGCACTAAGAGGTGTTTCAGCATTAATGTGAACGCATGTTGGGTACATAATACATATGAATTTGGAAGGGTTCACATATGAACTTGAAACAGTTCATTTGTCTTGCTGTCTTCCTGTACATGACAGTTTCTTCCTCCCATTGTATAGTATAAAGATACGTAGCTTACAAATTTGGGAGAAACAGCCAACTATATTTTACATAAAGGTAGGAGTGGCAGCTGAGGTACATTTCTTGGTGATTGGGTACATCTTATAGATTTTTTGAAATGGGGAAAAAATCAACTTGAAGTTTATGGTTTTGATGATTAGACAGGATAGTTTATAGAAGGAAGAGATATAAGAGATATAATTTTAGAGAGGGGGTCAGAATATAATTGTACTTATAACTGCTGTGAAGAATATTGGAATTACTTCTTTATACCTTTCTTTTTTCTACTTTCTTCTTTCAGGGTTTTTTTCTGTTGTTTTTCTTTTCTCCCCTCTGTTCTATCTAGTGTATATAAGTTCTTCTATTATTCTGAAGACATTTAATAAAAAATTAAGTATGAAAAAATGGAATGATGGCTGGGAAAAATAGTGTCATTAAAAATGCAGGCTGGGCAGGAAAGTAGTCAAAAGGCTCAGGCACTTAATCGTTAAATTCAACTGGGATGTTACATGCAATATCTATTTTGCTAGCTCTGAATCTCAGTTTCTTTATATATAGGAAACATATATCAGGCATAAGGAACCAGAATAATACTGTGAGCTGATCAATTAGTTCTCTTTTTGTTGCATGCCTATTTGCAGGAATCTGACTTCATTTTCTTGAGAACTGTCAGATAAGGCTTTAGGGTTTCTGGGGGCGAGAGGCAATATCTGCACCATTTCTTGCTGTGCAAGAATTCTAAGCTCAGCCCTTCTCCATGCTTCCTCCCAGTCTAGTTGGAGATTCCATCACAAACAATAAATACTGCTCCAACTTTCCCCAACCTAGGCTAGAGCACCTCCAGATGGTTGAAAGAGACCATCAGTTGATCAGATTCGAAGAATTAACCTCACTTTGTCTAATTTACTGCATTCTAGAAGTGATGTACCTACAATCCCAAGACAAGGCGGTCATGCTACCAGAAGTACTGGGAATTGTAGTTGCAACATAACTAGAGCTATCGGATGGAAGAAATGCAATTAGCAATATGACAATTCCAGTGTTTTGGGTGTTTTGAATGATGAGAAGGCTATTTTCCTACAACAGTGGAAATGAGGGGAGGGAAAGCTACCAAGACATCCAAAATGGGGATTTAAATAAATAGAGATGAACAGCTAAGTAGCACTCAGCTAATGCAACACAGATGTCCCACACTCAGCTGGAAAACAATTAACCCAGATATTTTACTGTGAACTCATTTGCTCATAGCCGCTGAAATATAAAGTCTAAGCAGCAGCTAGAAGAGCAAGACTACTCAGTAGTGGGGGTACTATTCGTGTTAGTTCACCATTTGCTTAAGAGAATGGAGGAACAAAAGTATCTTTAAGGAAGGCTTGAATTGTTTCTATTCAAGATTTATACAATGGAACTAAAGTTTCACAGATCCAGAAGATAGGTTAACTTTTGGAAGGAGTAAGCACATTCTGAATGTTGAGGGCATGTCATGAATAACAAAATGGTATCAAGGGGCTGATCTTTTCCTAAAAGGGTTGTCAACTGCAAAGCAACCATCTGCCCAAAAGCAGGTAAATGAGGTTCCCCATCATCTTCTCTGGGCCCACTCCCCCACTAATGATATGGGACAATCCTGTATACTTTCTGCATTTTCTCTAAGTGTATAGACTGCACTCCGTACAATCACATTCCTGTAATCCTAGAGTCTACTGCATTTGTTCTCGGCACACCAACTTATTTATTTTTAATTAAAAGATTTTTTTTTAAGATCAAAGGGAGCAATAACTCTGGCAGGAAAATGACCCTGAGTACCACATTGCCTCTGCATTGTTTGTAGAGGTTGGAGAAAGTATTTGATCGTGGGGCAAAAGAGATTATAAATAGTAAATGACATTGACTCCAAGAGGTAGTTAATAAAAGCTTACATTTCAGTTCTTACATTTTCCTAACTTTTCCTTTAACTCAGGATTTTTTTTTTTTTTTTTTGAAAAAAAAACAACCTTAATGACTAGCAAGTTCTTGTAATAAGATTTTCTTGCTCCTCTAGGAACATTTCATTAAGTCTTTACAACTCTCATTCCATATCCTTAATGAGATTTTTTGGTCTGGAAATAATGTCTGTCATCAAAATCACTACTCTGTTGGGACCTTCTTCATTTCTGTAGCTGATTACTAGCAAACAGAGAGAGGGGAGGCCACAGAAGGAACACTAATTAAAGAGAGACTGGGAATAGGGAACAGAAGCTGAAAAGGCTGAAGAAAGAGAAATTGTATAAAGTAGAAGTATGATTGGTCAACTCTGGACAATGGAAGCTTATAAATACCCTTTGGAAAAGTTTGGTAAAGTCTAAGAGAAGTACTTTGTACCATATCTTTTGTAACATATTTCCCACTTTCCTCTATGTTGCAGCTTTATCATATTTTAAAACACAGCACTGATGTCCCATTACATTTGGACAAATTTGATTATTATCAGTAAAATGTTTTTATGACTTCATGCTAGTCAATTCAAATGTGTGTGTATGTATGTATATATACACACACACACACACACACACACTTATGCAAGATAGCTGTGGCAATATGCGAGAAACTGGTTTCCTTTATCCATAATTAAATGAATTCTTCTGAAATTAAGGAAGACATTTGGTGTTAAATGGGAAGATATATTTTAACCATGTTTATTTTTTAAACAATTAAACATTATTGTTTAGAAAAGCACAGTTCCCTAATTCAGATGTGGCAAAACAAATGTGCCATAGCATTTACAAAGAAGAACCTCAAAGTTGTACTTCTTTGGCATTTAATATTTTGGGGGGCAGTTCTGAACATAGGTTATTCCCTGGGCTCATCACCATTTTTAATCCCAATTCCAAGATGGTTTACATGTCATTTCTTGAGCTGACATCTGGTTATCTAACTGCTGCTAAGGCAAATGGAAGGCAGTTCAAGGTGACCTAGCAGGAAAGTGGAATTTTCTGAGACAATCTATGGAGACATTCTGTGTCACTTTGCAGAATTGTCTTCCAAAGGTCAAAGAGCTGCTGAGCTCCAATGGCTAGCTGCAGGTCCATTTCCTCTCATCTGGTGATTGAGCTCCTTGTCTCTGTCTATAGCCACAGAACTACTGGGGCAGTCTCCTTCTTTTCTTTTCTTTTTTTTTTTTTTTTTGTGGTATACTGGGAAAGAAGATTTACCACATGGGAAATCAAAATTTGGTCCCTCCATGAAGCTGTTATTCCCACCAGTAAGGAGTTAGCACGACTTCACCAGCAACTTTTACTTATCTTACAGTTCTGCTTATTTATTCCCAAAAAACTAGTATAATATATTAAGGATTTCATTTCTCATTTCTCTCTCTTTCTCATACATGGATACTAATTAGAAAAGGTACAAGAACACAGCTGCAAGAAAATTCCAGAATCTACACTGGAGTAATATCCTGACTTACCAAACTCAATTTCTCCAGATAGCTTAATAGTAAGCAAGTGGTCCAACACCAAAGACTTTGCCCAGAATCAACTGGAACGAATTGAGAAGTGGGTGCAGAAAGCTAGTGATATCTCCTTTCTTTTGAAATGGATAGAAAATGAAAAGTAGTTGTGGGAAAACTGCTCCACGTGTGTGAGCAGGGGGAAAGAGTAAAGGGGCAGGGATGGAGTACTTTTCTCTCCTGTTTTTTTCTTTGATCCCATCCTGGCAGTTTTCTGGAGAGCATGACTGATATCTGTAAGAGAGTGCAGCAACTTTATGAGCCCTATTTCTGAGGCATGGAATAACTGTGGGGGATAACAGTTGCCAAAATGGCTTTTTTCCTTCTACCTTGAGGATAAGAGAAAATCTCTGCAGTGGGGCTGTCTTAATGATAGCTTTTTAATTGGGACATGGAATATACAGTAATTGGATGGTCTTGACTTCAAACATTGATGGTATATATATATAAATGGACATATCAAGTATATTCTACTTAAAATAGTACCTTAAAAGAGTACATAAAGCTCTAACAATTTATCTTCAGTCCAGTTCTACCTCCAGGTACCATATTTTTTTATCCAAGAATTGATAATACTATACAGAATAATCCATTTTTTTGAAATGAAACATCCCATTATTTGATTAAGAGACAACATTCTGCTCATAGTATTCCATGGAAGAAGATCCGCTGGGAAAACTGCCCTGGCTGACCTAATAGTGGGTGGATTTGCTCTTTTGAACAAGGATTTCTGGCCCGCCCCTGGCCTTTACTGTCTGGAGTTAAATTTGTGTTTGTCCCAGAAGGTTCTTGATGAGTGGGAATGGGCAACTCTCCATTCTGCTATTTTCTCATCACCCAAAAACCACAGCTAGTTTTTATGAGAAAAAAAAACACACAAAATTGATGTTGATTATATTGGACCAATAGGCCTCAGAGAAGGAACTGCTGGTTTCTTTCCAAGTTCTTGTTTTGACAACCATTGGGTCTGCTTCGATTTTGGGACACTCTATCACCAAGCAACTCTATGTAGTTGAACCCTTAGCTGGAAAACCTTCACTGGAAATAAGGATGATCTTGACTCCAGCCTACATTTCTCATTATCTGTACTGTAGAGTCAAACATGACATAGATTTGTATCTTCTGACATTTCAAGGCAATGGTGTAAGAGTAAGAGTTGAAGATTTCTTGGGTAAGAGGCCTCAGGATGGGGCCTAAGGTGCTTTTATTTCCCAGTTTTTCTGCCCACTCCCCCTTCCTACCACTGGTTTTCTTATTAAATGTGCATAGGAAGTATGAATGAACAAGAGCAGGATTTTCATTCTCTTTTTCCATTAACTTTTTAAAAGGCTTGGGTGCATTGCAGGAAAAATCTGTACTTATACCCAGCATCTTTGTATCCCCAGAGAATCTCTAGGGAAAAAGAGGCAATTCATAGTTACATATCTGCTTGAACATTTGTGTGATTGCTGTTTTATCTGAACAAAAAAGAAAGCCTCGATTCTGAATTTGTGAGTTCTTCGGACTGAAGTGCGATGTTAGCAATATGATTGACTCAGAACTTGCCTTGCAGTCAGTTGGAAGCAGGCTCTTTGTATACTTTATATTCTGTATCTGTTTTTTTGTGCTGGACAGATTTATTGATGTGCTGGCTGTCCAATGTGAAATAAATCTTGGAAGTCTCCATAGAGGACATGCTAAGATTTGTTGTTCCTTTATTATCTTTGAACTCTGCCACATCACTGCTGATTACCCAAACCACACCTCTCTGTGTTTGTTCCTCCCTATAACTTGGTCTAAGAAAGACGCAGATGTCCCACTCCCAGGCTGAAGGGAAATGAGAATAGCACTTCTACAGAGAAAATGGAGCAGTGAGAAAAAAATGGTAAATTGCAGTGGACCCTTTTCCAGAAATTCTCTTCATCCACAAGCAAGGTTTTCAGGCTACCAACAGAAAGAGGACTTCTCCTTTCTGTCTAAATTCTGCCAACTGTCAGCAGTTCAATTCTCACCGGCTCAAAGTTGTCTCAGCCTTCCATCCTTCCGAGGTCTGTAAAATGAAGACCCAGATTGTTGGGGGCAATATGTTGACTCGATAAACCATTTAGAGAGGGCTGTAAAGCACTGTAAAGTGGTACACAAGTCTAAATACTATTGCTATAGTGTTAACATCAAATATTGTTTGGCTTTTTAAGTATCTACAAACTAACCTCTTCCTGAGCGGCTGTTCTCCACTGCTCAGGGCTTCTCTAATAAGGACTACCTGCAAATTAACAAGCTCTACTGGGTGACCTTGATTAGTATCTGTCTGAAATTGACACAATCTTAATTAGTTACACTCTGAAGACTTTTGCCTTTTAACTGCTATAGCACATTCCTGTGCTTGAAAAACCAATCTTTTTGATGCTGGAAAAATTTTTTTCATATACATGTAAGCTATGTTTTTTTTTTTGTTTTTTGTTTTTTGCAGTTTTTCATGGTAATTTTATTGTGGCTGCCAAAAGCATTAAGCAATTAGTGTGTCCTCCTTACCACCACCACCCCAATTTGTACCCCTTTCCAAATGTCCATGTCCTCTTTTGCCTGTTCAGCCACCTGATCATCCTATCCACAAGCTTTTTTAGCCAGCCAACTTGCCCCACTTCAATATACCAAGGACTGAAGTGCTTCTTATTGAAAAGCAGAGGCTTAGAGCCCAGAATAAGGCCTTGAGTCCAGGACTGGAATCCTGGATTTCTGGTTTGCCCGGAGCATCAATCAATCAGCCAGTCCATATTTGTTTCTCTTTTATGAAAAGTAGAATGCATGTTAGGAGGAAAGAGTCTGGCAGACAACATTCTAGAACACACTTTCCTGCTAGATAAGATGTAGCCTTTGTTCTCCATGAATAACCAAGATCTGGAGTTTATGGCATGGTAGCACTGGCTTTGTTACTATCATGTAGAGGTAGTCCCTGGGTTACAATCCTTCATTCAGCAACTGTTCAAAGTTGTGAGGGAGACTTACAACTAGTCCATGAAGTTACAGCATCCCCATGGTTGCATGATCATGGTTCTCATGTTATAAGGAGGCAACTGACTCACACTTGCAAAGTTGCAGCATCCTTCAGTCGCATGATTGCCATTTGTAACGACTGGCTTTCACAAGCAAAGTCTGTGTTGAAGACAGCAAGAGGTTGCAAGTGACTGCCACTTCTGCCTATAACTCTCACTCAAAAGTCTTCTTGCCTGGGACTCCTGTCTATCCCTGCTTAATGACCCACATGGTCCTGGGATTAGGAGAGTAACCAGTGTTGCTGGGATTATCGTCACTATGCAATACAGTCATGTGACATGGCAGTGCAACACTTAGTGACTGAAATTCTGGTCCCAATTGCTGTTGTAATCCAACGACTACCTGTAAATGTTAAATGTGTATCCAGTGGCAGACTTGAAGAATAAGGCTTGGGTGGAGGTTAGATAGCTATCTGTCAGGAATGCCTTCATCCTCCTGCATTGAGTACAGGGTTGAACTCAATGGCTGAAATGGCTCATCCCAACTCTAGGTTGAAAAATAGTTTTTATCCCAGAGCTGTAACCATATTAAATACTACTGTATAGTGCAATATTGAAGTACAATATTAGGGGCAGCGCAATGATGAAAAGAATGTGAAGGATGTGTGTATATAATGTATATTTTTATTTGTGGTTTTTACTTGTGTGTAGTGTGCACTGTGGACAGCACTTAATTTTGTTGTCATTACACAATGACTATAAAGACATTCATTCTATTTGCTTCTAGTTCCAGGAACTTTGTCCTGAAGTTCTTGAACTGAGCTTGTACTGTACTTGTAACTTGGCTCCAACTTGTTTAAAAAGTTACATTAGAAACTAGTCTTCTTGTCTCCATGCTTCATTAATGGAACTGAACCACCAGTATGATGGAGAGATGTATTGAGATAACATTTTCTGTTTGCAATTATCCTGCATTTTCTTATCTCTTCCTACATATCTTTGTTATTTTTTTTAGTTATCATTTTTGCTTAATACAATATATTACATCAGAAAAAATGAAATCACAAAGCTTTTGCCTAGAAATACATATTGCAATTTGCCAATTGAGCTAGCCATACTAAAGTCAAAAGATGTCCTTTAATAATTAAGCTATGAGGAATTTTTTCAATGTCCAAAATAACTTTGTATTTAAAAACAACTCTGATATGGAACAAACTTATTCTGAACTAGTTATGGGTTTTAACTCTGTACATTCAGTGAGATTATAGCTGAAATGGGTTTCTCTTAACATAAGGCTTTTAAATATTAGATTTTGCTTGATTGTTTATAATAAAGATAGACTTTCTTAAATTGGGTAAACATTTATATTAATGAATTTGTTTATTCTGATTTGTGATGCTTGCTATATTTGTAGCCATTGTTAATAGTAGACTTTAATAAAAATTGAAATAGGAGTATCTTTACATGTAGAATTAATCTAATATTACTTGAAGATATGTGTTCGGTTTTACATAGCTTGTAAACATTTTCAAATTTATTTTATTGTTCCTCTTTTTTCTTAGTCGCACTTTTAAAAAATTCTGTAAAGTTGAAAAAAAATTCTATTCCAGACAGCTACATGCTAGCAGCCTTCTATATGATCACTGGGATCATATGTTAACATAGCCATATGAGGCACATCTGGTATTTGATGAAGCTCAGCCAGTGTGGCTTTTATTTGTCAGATTTAGATCCTACTTTTCCTCCAGGAGCAAAAAGTGTCTTGTATAACACTACACCCTCTTGCTTTTCTGACAACCACCACCACCACCCTTTAGACTTAGGGGAATGCCTGGTCCCATATTGTCCAGCTGAGCCTGCAGAACTGACATTGCATTTAAGACCAGGTTTGCTCAGATCCTACTCCAACACTTTCACCACAAATACCATAATAAGAAGGACATTTCTCACCTGCAGTCAGAAAAAGTGGGGTAGATTAATCTACCATGAGAGTTCCCTATCAAAAGAATGACTTTCACCAAAACAACATGATAATGGACTTCATTTATATTACCTGCATAGGACTTTGATTTTGAAAAATTTTTAGGGAACGTTTTTTATTATTTTCAATGTGCAGTCCCAAAGAGAGAGGCTGCAAATTCAAAGCCATAATCTCATTTATCATGCTGGTGATTACACCTTGATCAGATGCTCAGCAGAGCACATTAATCCTCCCAGCAAGCTGTATGTAAAGGGCAGAGGTGAACTCTCCTGCCTTCCTGCTTGACTTGGGGCGGGGTGGGGGGAGGATAACTGCCACAAAGCTTGAAGATTTAGCTTCATTTTTTAAGTTCACTGACACTCGGGACAAATAAAAAGCCTCCTCTGATTAAAGGTCATAGATATTGTCAAGTCTGATTCATCAGTCATTCCTTGAACAGGAAATTATGCAGAATTATGGAAAGACAATTCACCCAGCATTTGGAGTAAAGTTCTGCGGCTAGTAATATTCAATGTGTAGCTTGCTTTTTCTCCAGGAGTTCAGTGCTGCTTCCATGGAGAGCATCTTTTGTTAATCCTCACAACAACCAACACGAATGAATAAACTGGCCAAGAGAGAGTGATCTGAATCCATGCTGGACTAAGCCTTTTTCTTCCAGTTTGTCTGGGTGGAGAGGAGGGTGGGAAAGGTAATTAATTGCATGCATTCCCTTTTAGTTGCTCAGAAAAAACACAGGCAAAGCCGAAAAAGATGAAATGCAACCACGGAGGAAGAAAACCAGCCATTGTAGACTAACACCAGGCCTCCAAACATTTTAACTGTCCCATTTAATACTATTCATGCTTTAGTGGAGATGAACATGTTTATAGTAAAGGAGAAACTCTAAATGTTTAAGGATCATAGCAGAACATAAGGTTTATATGAGCTCTCATTTATGAGGATAGTTGGAGAAGAACAACCATGGACTCCAACAGCCATTAATGTCTTTTTTTTTTTCCTTTGCTCCAATTCCCATAAAAGTGTGAGTGGTCAGTGTTGATACAAAATCCCCGGTGGATAGATTACTGACAAGGCCTGGCAGGGCTGGAAAGGAAATTGTTTCTGGGGAAGGATTATCTGAGGCTAGAAGTAAGACGAGAAAACAAGACAGAATATGGATGTAGTATAAGAGCTAAAGGGCAGAAATGAAACAGAACAGATGTGAAAATTACATTTGAATGAAGAGCATGTCCAGTCTATTGGAGATTGAGAGCCAGGAAGAATAAAGTTGAGGTCTAGTCTGTGGCATAGGTCTAAGTTGGCTTTGATGAACAAGGCTTATTAAAACTAAAGACCTGCAATGTGTTAGGGGAAAGAACACATAATTCTGCCAAGACTGAACATTACTGATGCAAATGTGCATAGTTCTTTGGAAAAAACTTTTAATGAGAAATCAGGGTAACAGTTACCCTTTCTCCTGCTCACTCAGCAATCCAGTGTAATGTTATAGGGAATAACCTTGGAAGACGGGGGTGGGGGGAGAGAGGCACAGTGGACAACCAGCGGATAAAAGATGTGTCGGTCCACAGAATGAGCGAGGACATGGGAAATGTTTCAGAAGGAACCTTCCCCAGTTTACCAGAGAATAGAAGAAGGGGGTAGGGAATACATACAGTCTTGCAAGATTCTGTTAATGTAATCTTAAAATAAAGGTAGAGCAGAGTCTTTTTGTCTGGACTA